AATGTTTTGTGTATTACTTACCCAGGTATTTTGAATTTGGCACCATTTGTAGATGTACCAGCAGCAATATTACCTTTATGGTCAATTGCAATAATTCCAATAGTATCATGATTTTTCGTATCCACAAGATTTGGTTCGGGCTTTGAATTTTTGATCAAATTTGGTTTGTAAGGCCCACAATACTTTTTTGGATCTGGATTGACATTCTACATTCAACAAAGATTTTTTAGTCCATTTAATGAGTCAATATTTTAATTGTATACCGGTATCAAACAATAAACAACATACAGTCCAAAAGTTAGGCTGACAATAATTAGATTTCCACTGTTTCCACAAGTTCAACGACTCAACTGTGCTGAGATTAGTCTCTTTAAAGCCCATCTGTATAGCAAATTGAGTTGCTTCATCACCTACGAGAAGAGTATGTTTTGTGTTTTCCATCACAAGCCGTGCTACTTTAGAGGCTGACTTGATACGTTTCATATGCCCAACAGCTCCCATATTCATTGTAGCTCTATGGATTTATTGTTTCAATTAAATTATTATAATTTGAAGTAAATAGAAATAAATAATTAACAAACCCATCAATGATAAGAGCATCTAAAGAAGTTTCTCCATTTTCATCAGGACTTCCACCATAACCAACAGTACCATCACATTGCTCTAGTTCGCAAACTGTACATCCAGCTACAACTGCATCAATTGCGGTGCCTGTCATGTTTAACACTGACCAACCTAAATTCATTTTTAAATAGAAATAGTATACATTAGGCACTATATTAATTTATTAGAATAAAGAACTGTTCGCCTAATGATCAAGCTTTTTTTTTTGAGCAAATATAAATGTTAAAATTTATAAGAATCAGTAATATATTTTATTTTTTTAATTAAGCGTTCAGAAATTTGGAAAATATAAATTTTTCAATTGTTTAAACAAAATATAATCAAAAAAAAACTACCCATATGACCAAGTAAGGTAGGGTAGGTATTCAATAATTTTAAAACAAATTTAAATTTGGAATAGGTGAACTAATATTGTTATCATACTGAAATTAAATAAGTTAGAAAAATGAAAACTATTTATTCTTATTCTGGTAAAATAAGAAGTTTTGAATTTGATTTTAGTAATAATAGAAATGATTTCTTTCTTAAAAAACAAGTTTGGCTGAAATACAAATATTTTAAGCTTGTTATAATATAGGTATAAAAAAAAAATAGAATAATATACTTAAAATTTTTAATAACAGTACATGTTATTTGATATTATCATAACAAGTAGATTTTTATATTAAATAAATGGAGATGTGCACAAAAGGTAAGAAAAAAATGACAACTCTGCTAATTACTGCATATATAAAATTGACTTAAAGTACATGTACATCTAATTAAAATAAGAAATACTCATAATATTTAGTACCATGGTTTATTTTATTACAATTATGTACAAAAATGTCAACAACAGACAGCTTGCAAGGATAAAGTAATATTAATTTACAAGGATAGGTAACATTCATTTCCAAGGCGTTTTTTAAGAAATAAAATCATATGTAAATGAAAAATTATTGTACCTAAAAACTAACCAATATTTGGTGAAATTAATATTTAATAGATAATGTTTCATTTAATTCTTTAAATGTCGACTGCTATACAACCACTGGCGTTCGCACGGTTTCAGAATTTAAAAGTAATTTTATGGACGCCAGCTATCGCATGTTGTCATAATCTCATTTATTAGTGAATGTGATTTGTAGTGTTGGACTAATAATTAATATTTTTTGATGGTAGTGTAGAGGAAAACATTTTGAATCAAATGATATGTTAGTTGCCTTAAACAGACTATTGAATATAAACTAAATACTAAATTTATCAAATATTATTAAACCGGGTTATTTTATTATTTACCAAACATACTCAGGGCTCACCCCTTTTTTTTCTTCAATAATACAGTTACTCAAAATCTGATTCTTGAAATTTTTAATTATACTATTTTATATTTATGGACCATATTTTTAAATTATTGAGATTTTTGTAGACCTATTTAAGGAATGTCCTCTATAAATACTAACTTCGGTTTTTTTAAATCCTCCTTTTCTACTGTTAATTATTTAGAGGTTAAATTTCTCTGCAAATTCTAACATATCAGAATCAGAATTTGTACCAGTAGATTTTAAGTTCTTTAACTTTGTGCAAATACTAAGGAATAAAGAATATATGTATAATAGATCTGTATTAACGGGTATGGAAGATATTAATGAGGCTATGGTGATTTGAAAATACTAGTGACCAATATTAGGTAATTTGTCAACATAAATAATTTGTGAAAATGGTCCAAAATAATAAATAGGTATTAGAATATAAGATTTAATATTACATCTATTTTATATTTTTGTAAAACCATTTTTAAGGACTATTATCCTTAGTAGCTATAAAATTTTAATAACTATGAAACTCCTCGTTCAAATTTTGAATTAGTTAGGTACATTAACATTTTCAAAAAATGTATCCATTCATGAACTTACTGTAAAAAAGGGGGTTCTCATTTTAAAATTAGAAGAGTGTATTGCCACAGGACGTCCGTTTAAATAGGTAGTACAAAAAAAAATTTAAGAATTTGAAAAAAATCGCTGTGAGCATATTTGGTGAATCATCCTTTATAATAAATAAATTTATATCACAAGGGACGTGAAATGTGGTTGAGTAGGAAAAATAGTTGTGCGGCCGCCGAAGGCTTTAACATGTTAAATAGGTATATTAGCTACTAGGTCACTGAATTCTAATAAAAATTCAAATTTAAAAAAAATCAATTTAAAGGTTGTTTTATATTGGCTTTTTAAAATTAAACGCCTTGTAACCACGGTCAACGATAGGTTGTAGGTACCTTGAATAAAACTGTAAACACCAAGTACCTATTTCATTTTTAAAAGAGTAATCAAAAAATCATTACTTTTTGCTGTAGCATTAGTAAACGCCCACGTACTGATAACCATTGGAGTATTATAAGTTAAACAATTGCCTTTTACATTATAACAATATAATTTACCAATAACTACAATAAATATGACGGAAAAACTTATAACAGATAATATTCGTCTGAAACGATAAAATAAGCTCATTATTGACATTTTAATATGTATTTACTACTATTAGCAATTTGTAAAAGATGAAAACTTCGGTACGACGGAATGTTGGAAATTGGCATTCAACAAAACAAATCTAAGTACACGTTATCTGTTTTTCTTTACGTTTTAAGACTTTTAGAAACAAAATTAAATACTGAATGTGCCCGGTGCTCTCAAAACGAACAAATTACTGATAAGCGAATGCGAACAGAGTAGTAGTATTGTTCTGTGGTAGTAGAAAGTAAAAACTAATAACTATAAATATATATAAAGTAACTAATGCCGTGAATCAAAATAAACTACGAGGCATGACAAATTAAATAGGTATGTCAGCAACTTTGTGATACGCATGTCTGTGACGTAAGCATTTCTCCGACTGTTATCAAACGTTATTATTTTATAAAAACAAAATCATATTATCCGGAACATTTCTACTGTGCGCCGTGCGGAACATTTTTTTTTTGCAATTTTTTTTTAAACTTATGTAATTAAGGACGCTGAAAACGATGGTGAAGTCAGAATTTGGCGGTCGGACATAATTTCGAAATTATGACCCTTCAGATTTCAAATAGTGCAGACCTGCAGTGATTACACAGTTTGCAGCACACGCCACACAGTGCCGTGCCTCCGCTCCGAAAATTTAATATATCCCTCGATTTGTTATGAAACACCACCTCAAGCAGATCATAGGGTAATTACTAAATTACTAATTTAAAAAAAAACAAATTAAAAAAAAAATGTGTCCCATAAATAAGAAATTTACTACTAATTAACTAATTGAACGTAATATGTACGGTTATTACCTATGTCATTATCACAGAATATTTTGATATTTTTTTTTCATTATTTAATTTGCTATGCGTGTACCTAGCAAGTCCTTTTATTTTTTCCAATTAACTAAATAAGTTTCATTTCTGGAATAAATTTTAGTTTTTTATCTAGAAAAAACATAGTATTACAGAAAACATCAGACAACAAAGGAAGATAATGTATAATGTACCTAGTTAACTGTGAGTTAATATTTATTATTCATAATTGCCTAACTTTTAATTTGTATGTTTTTTATAGGATATTTCCAGAATAGTTTTGTTTATGCTATTCAAAATGATTCTCACTAAGCAGTGTTTCACATGGTATGGTAATATTTAAAGTTAGTATTTTTTCTGTGTTTGAATTTTAACGGCAATGAGTTTAGCTTAGGTATTAAACAGTTAATTAGTCAAATTTTAGGAGAAGTACTGGCACCATAGTTCCTAGTCCAGTCCTCGTACCATGATAAAAAAAAAAAAAAAGTTAATTAGTCAAAATTGTATACATTTTTATTTTGGTTTGAAATCAAAACTCTAGTAATAAATGATTTATATTAGTGTTATTAACAAAATTAAAATAAATATAGTATTAAATTATAATTAAAACAAATCAATTAAAATTTATTTATATTATTTTATAATAAAAGAGCTGAATATAATTATTTAATATAATTAAATTTTTTTTACAAATGTCACCCCGTCTATAAAAGTATTTAATGTTATAATAAAAATAATAAAAATTAGTTCAACATTTACATAATGTTAAAAAATATAATATGCTACCTATATAATAGTATAGGAAATACAATATTTAGACTACGCATATAAAAGCAAATTAAAAAGTATAGAATGCACACAGATAATTTTTTTTAATATTATATTACACATAAGTAAAGTTAGAGGACAGTGATTGCGCAATTTAAAAATTAATATTAACATTGGAACGATAAACTATTGACATAACTATTTTTGAAAATAACAAAATTGTTGAATTTTAAAATATTAATATCTTACTCATTATTGACTAATAGTTAATATAAAATAATGCTACTATGTTAGTAATATTATATCTTTAAATGGATATTTTTTTGACATTTGGATACAATTTGGTTGGATTTTTAATGTGGGGTCTAAATGATGTATTTTGCATTTCTATGCCTTGAACTTGGTTTCTGTCAATATTGTATAATGAATGTTCTTGTTCTTCGTGTTGTTGTTGTTGTTGTTGTTGTTGTTGTTGTTGTTGGTGTTCATTGTGCATTATATAATGGGTAATGCTGGAGAAAATGCCTGCCATTAGTTTCAGGCTCCATCCAAATGTCTGATATAATATAGATATGTTTAGACCGGTGTTAACACATGTCAATATTATTTTACAAATGAAAAATATTCCTAACAGACCAGAGACAAATTCCCCAAACACAGTGAACCAACCCCACATTTTTTTTAATTTGGTATCTACGAGATTACTTATTGTATTTTCGTCAATTAAGCTGTTTAAATTTAATCTCTGATCCATTACTGACAGACCCATGGTTTGTCTTGCAAGATTTTTTTGCGAGGCCTCTATCTCCTGAGGTAATACTAAATATTGTTGAAAGGCCTTCATTGTATTATGAGTGTAAATTCCAGCTGTCATTAAATGTTCAGGGCTTTTGTAAGTCCAAGTCCATTCCGTTGATGGTTTAAGGGTTTGAGGTTTTTTTACTTCATTTATTTTTGATGTTATTGAAAACCATTCTCCATCAAGATGAAATGCAGATGGTAATAGATGATTGCAATCTATTTCTGTACCATATTTCTGCAAAGTCCTCGTTTTCGGTGCCATAAAATATGATTTATTGTTATATGTTACAGGTAGTTCATCATAACAAACATCTTTATATATAATTTCCACCTCAACCGCTTTGCATTTTATTAAATATATTATTTCACCAGCCTTAATGGCTGTGAAACCAGGTCCTTCACCCATTGAATAGGCAAATTCTGAAAGACTGTATGTAGCTAAACTTAATTTGTGTTGTAATACTTTTCTCTCTAGCTCACATTGTTTATGTAGTAAATCTGTGTATAAATCAGTTATGGATAATTTTAATCGGTTTTCGATGTAAACAAATTTTGTGTTTATATACGCCATTAAGTCAGTATTTTGTGGAGAAATGCTTTTTGTTTTGAAGAAGTTAAAAAATTGAGAGTCTGTTAGAATATTTAATTGTGGATGTTCTGTCTGTATAACTGGAATATGACAGGCATATGTTTGTCTTATACTTGTGAGGGCAAAAACTATTTGATCGGATTCAACTAGGTAAGTATGTTTATTTTTAATCGATGTAATTAAAGATGCAGGTCCATCGTATAATATTGTGAATTCATGGGTATTACAATCATATACATTTAAATCCCATATCACTTCGCCTTTATATGCATCTATGCCGTATTGGTCTGTTAGTTTAAATGAAGTGCCCGTTGAGAGTATTAGTGTATTTTCTTTACTATTCACTATTGCCACCCCAGTGGTCAGAAATATTTTATAATTGGCCTGTACAATAACATCTTGCCACGTACCTTTATCCGATGTGAAGGTTGTACCTTTGCAATTACCATTTCTGTCAATGTATCCAGCTATTGTAGTGGCAAAAAGTCTTGTTTCATTTATTTTTAATCCTGTAATCACCCCCCCAAGTGGTAGGTGATAAATTAATCTTTGGTGAATTTCTGAACAACGTGAGCTGCCTAGTTCTGATATTTCTGTGAAGTAGCCATTTTCTACCATTTGTGCATCCTCTAGTACTGAGCACCTTGATATGAAATAGTTTATTATTATTGAACATGATTTATAAGGTATTGAATAAGTGTCTGTTTTTTGTAGTAACTGAATTCTCTGAATAGGTTGAACGTTGACTTCGGTCGGAAGGTCACAAAATTCTACTTTCAGACTATTGAATGCCGTTATGTTTATTTTTGGTCCACCACAGTCATATGCAATAAATCCTAGTGTTTGTTGTATGAGTGAGAAGGTGATGATTCTTGGGAAGTACATCTTGATATAGCTAGATTATAATATACAATTTTGTGTTAGATATATAATATATAATATATATGGCAAATATATTAATGGTATATTGAATGTTGGATGATATGGGAGTCCAGCAGTTTGGATAAATAAGCAAGGCTGGGCAAGTTAACTAATTTTGTTAACTCGTTAAGTTAATTTAGAAAAATGTGAGTTAAGTTTAAAGTTAAAAGTTACCTTTATTTGTTTTTAACTTGGAAAAGTTACAAGTTAATTATACAATAAAAGCATAGGCGTGTCTACAGTGGCAGCCTAGGGTGCCTGGGCTGCCCCTGCAATTTTTCAAAGGTGCCGGTCAACCGAGTTTTAAGTCAGAGGATTATAACATTTTTTTTTTTTTTAATAATTTTAGTATAAATTACAATAAAAAGTTTAAAAAAATGCATTACAAAAATCTATTACAAGTGTAAGCTGTCAATACATAGTTTTAGTATAAATCTAAAAAAAAGTTAATCTGTTATATTTATTTAAAAACCATGTTGGTTTAAAAATCTTAAAATAAAATTTCAAATTCATACTTGGTTTCCAAAAACTAGAAAATGCTCCAAAAACTCTAAAATGCCCTAAAAAATTAAGAAAATGACCTAAAAACTAAAAAATGCCAAAAAATGCAAAATAAACTTTCTTATTCTCATTCAAATGTACATAAAACAAATTTGTGACAAGATTGCAAAGTAAGCATTGCACAGTAAGCTTAGGAAAACAATGCAAAGTGCATCGAAATCCCAGCCCTACTAATAAGGTACCGCCGGTTATTACCTAGGCTGCCCCTGCCAATGAAGTCTAGTCACGCCTATGAATAAAAGTAATTTAACTTTGTTAAAAATAAGTTACTTTTTTTAATATAATATTAATAAATAATAATAATTATACCTACCTACCTACCTTTTTTTAAAGTTAACAAATAACATAATAATTCAATAAATGTCTTAAAATGTTTAAATAAATACAGGGTGTCCCGTGAGGATTTACTCATTATCCGTAGAGGGGGACTCGCCGCCCGGACAAAAACCAGTTTATTGACGTTTTACTAATAAACTAAAAAAATTATTAAAAATCATGAGATTAATGAAAATAAAATGTTAAAAGCTCAACATTTTCACAAAAATATACTCTATAGAATGGCTATTTTCAATTTTTTTAAAAATAAAAAAATAATTTTTTTAACTTTTTTACTAAAAAATTTAATTTAATTAAAAAATAAAATATTTGTAGTGCTTACCTCTGTGAGTCTTAATAAAAAAACATAATTACATATCTCCATTATTTCAGGAGATATCGCAATGAGTAAATCCTCACGGGACACCCTGTATATGTAAATAAGTATTAAATAAGTATTTCTTACCTTAGACAAAGATTGCAGTGATCACTAGTCTTCTATTATACACCGGATAATTATTGTATTAGAAAATAAAATAAAATGGAATAAGAATATTTTTTTTTCAATAAGTAAAAGACACTCTTCAAATACTTATCGAGAATTATTTATAAAAAAAATTTAAACAAATTGATTAATGGTACATATCCGTGGTAAAAATCAAATATAACTGATCACTATTTGCTACGTCGAATGGGCTTATATAGACAATTTGTGTTTACATATGTTTTCAATAAATTCCAATGATAGCACGCTTCGCATTAATCATTTCATTATAAATATTTTATAATTAAATAATTGTATAGATAATTTAATGATAATTATAATAATTGGATGGTTCATAGGTCATGTCTGATAATATAATAATATAATGTTTGATGTTTATAATTAATTTAAATGTTATATATATTTTTTTTTTTTTGTGTACACATATTAGGTTTTTACATACATAATTTGTCTGTGTTCTTTAAGCTGGATCTTATGGTGAAGGCGAAGAGTTAAATGTTACCAAATTATATCAGACTAAAAAAAAAATGTATACAATGAAAATATGATAATATATATGCTTTAATGTACATAATTACATAGTATGTCATTATTTTTACAAATTTTAAGTACATTTAAAAGAACAGAATAATATATTACTAATTATTTAAATTCATTATATTTTATCCAGTAAATTTTTTAAGCTTAATTTTATTCTTCCTAATATTTTTTGTATTTAATATTATTTGATTAAGGTTGTTTAATCGAATAAATGTTCTGGTTCGGACAAGACACTGAACTACTTCAATGGGTATGTCTAGTGCTGATAGTTTAATTTTTTCAACTAAAGAATGTGTTAATTTTTTCATTATACCCTCTTCTTTTGATAGGTGATTTCCATGAAGATCAATGAATAACTTTTCCATTATGTTTGCAACTTTAATTAATTGACTGGATGGATACGTCAATCCCCCTTTAGACAGATATCTAATCCAATTTTCATCATTGTTGTTTGGCTCTTCCGATACAATTAGAGGATATTTTTTTGCAAATTTAGATGCAACATATCCTAAGACATATTGCAAACCTTCCTTCTCAAGGCCATTGAAGGAATCATTGTCAGTCATGTATAAGGCCTGTAAAGTAAATAATTATTGTTATGTACCTATATCTTGAACATTTAACATACATGTTATACATATGTATTATTTTTTGTATATACCTCTGATTCAAACTGATTTAACAAATCCATACAAGTGTTTGAAATTTGAACATTGCTTGTTCCAAAAGCTGATTCAATTTGAGCCAAATCATCATCCACTTCTTGAATTTTATGTTTAGAATTAGTAATTAAATCAGTAGATTCGATAACTTCACCAGTTAAACATTCATTAATGTTAAGAAAACTTTCGTCTATTCCATCTTCGGTGTTTCTATTTTCGGTAAACACAACATTTGAGTGTTTACCTAGAATATACCATCTAAGACTATATTATATAAAAGTTATTTTAATTAATTATTTATGTAATAGAAAATTTGTGATTTAAAATTTAAGTCAACTTAAATAATTATCTAAGTAAAATACAAACCAATACATAAAATCTAATGCTGTTATACAGTAATTTGACGACCCTGCCATTCCTTTGAGGTAACTAAAAAGATTTTCTACTACATCTTGATTTAATTTCCTAGTAGTAATGTAAGAAACACCATATTCTTTTAAATCTCCAAATAAGTTGATGAGGGATGTATTGGAAATCACAATACCTAAGTCATGTTTATTATTTTAATATAATAATATGAGAACATATTTTTCTATCAAATATTCTTTTACCTTTTTGGAATGGCAGCATTGACTTTTTCCCATGAACCCTCATGTTTAATGCAAATTCATTCATTTTGTTCAAAAGCTCTGTTTGTTTGGTTTCATCGAGCCCATAGCTTGAAGTATTTTTATCAAACATCTCGTTGGTATTCATCAAGTCGAACCAGTCATTGAATAGACTTATAGTGTCTGAAGCCTACACAGGTTAAATTGGTCAGTATTAATATTCTTATAATTAATTTAGTATTTATTTATTTCAAATTACAATATACTACATACATATTATATAATATTTACATATTTCTATAGTCGGTTGATACCTACTCCCTGTAAGCAAACCTTGTGGCGGGAGTAGGGAGTCTATTACATAATTATTTATATTTTTACACAATTAATAAGTATAGCTTTAATTTAATTTTTAAATATAATAAGACATAATAACCTATTGATAATATCTATAACAAAACAAATCAAGATACATTTATAATAATAATCATAATGATACACTAGTCAAACGATCGCGTGTCCATATTTTTAATTGCTAATTTAATAGTGTATAACTTTACTTCTTTCCAGTTGTAATCATTAATATATTTGTTGTTTCCGCAGAATAATATGGCTTTGGCGACTGTATTTGAAAATACATTTGCAGCTAACCGTACATTCATTCGAGCTGTACCCTCTACAGAAATGTGACGGTCAGAAATCTTATGTGCTAGCTTGAAATCATTTCCTTCGTTCAACTTGATTAATTGTTGCAATATATTCTTCCCGATGTATTTACCATTAGGTAATATGAATCCTCTAGATGAGTACAAAGGTGATATTATAAATTTTAATATAACTGATAATTAACTTTTTATGTGATTTCAGGTATTAATTGACAACTTACTGATCGAGAAAATGGTTTCTTGCAAGTTTTAACATATGCGGCACATCAGCAAACACATGTACATTTCTATTAGTCATCGGGTGTTTAAATGACGTATTTGTTATAGAAATACCCATATCTCTCCACAATCCAACATTTGAAGAACCCATATCACTCACAATAGCGATCACATTAAAACCATTTTCATGTAGTGCTTGTATTATGTTATTAAGTAATTCTTTTGTCATAGAAGTATCGTAGTTATAAAATATTGGTTGTTTCCAATTGCTCAATAACCCTATAGGTTAATTAATTTTATTCAAGTACATTTAATATAAATTAAAAATTATTAATTAATTTGCTTACCTCTAGCTACAACGGTTTGAACACATCTGTGTGGACCATATACTTTTTCAAATTTTTTGTCATAACAAATTCTGTGTGAAATATATGTCTCGTCAAAAGAAATTACTGTTAGTTTTTCCTCCTCAGTTAAGAAATCACCTTATATATGGAAAATAAAAATCAAAGTTGATATTATTTAAATGTCTAAAATCTTTAGATCTTCTTTACACAATCATACCTTTGGCTTTCATCAGTTTTAATACATTAGTTAAAACACCAGGTTGAATTGTGAATGTAGAAGCCCATGTCCTCAAAGTAGACATACCTAAATTTAAAGATTATAAAAAATAAAAATAATAATTTCATTGTTAGTTGCCCTACCTGGTAGAGGAAAACATTTCTTGTTCCTCAAATATCTGTATGCTTTTGGAGATACTGATCTTAATGTTATAGCTGATGAAATATCATCAGAAGTCCATTTATATGCTTTCTGTTTAGGATGTAACAGCATATCAATTTGAGTTGGCGTAAAAAGTTTTGACAGTAAAGAATGGAAACGTAATTCAAAATTATTTTCTATTCCACTAACAATATTTTTTAGAGCTTCATTCTCTTTACGTAATGTTAAAATATTATTTTGTAATTTATTTTTGTCCTCTTTAAGTTCATTATTTTTATTTTTATAGAAATCTACAGTTTCCATTAGTCTACATAAAAATAAACATAATTATTACATTAAAGAATTAACAAAATATGTATTATTAATTTAATTAGTTTCTAAATTACTTCTGAATCAGACCATTATTTGAAGGATTGTCGTTATCATCACTTTCATCAACTAACGGTTGAACCCCTAGTTCAATGTTGACAAAATCCAACTTTTTTGAAATATTTTGATGTTGAATATTAGATTCTCTAAAAATGTATTCATAGCATTATTATACAAATATTGTAGAATTATACTTCAATTGATATTTAAATGTGTCTAAAAATTATTAAAATAAAAAAAATATTCATAGGAAACTTACACATCAAATACTCCAGCAGGCGTATTTATTTTCTGTGGTTCAACTATGTTTAGTGGTGTAGAAGGGTTCACTGGTCTTATAAAAGGAATATCATAATAGTCGGTGCCAAAAATACTATTAAAAAAAAACGTTGGTATTAAATGGAACTAAAAAGAAAAGAAAATTAAACCTGGATACTATGATATTATTCACCTCAGAGGAATTGCATCATCGTTAAGTTTTCGCATACGTTTAGGTGAATAATTTAATAGTTTCTGTATCAATGGCTTATTGATATGGTAAGGAGCAAAATGCAATGAGCAAACAACAGCTAGATGGAATTTAATAAGTAAATGTAAGTGAAAAATAACAATACAATATGTGTGAATAATTGTAATGTCTATGTTCTATGATCTCACCACTTTTAATATTTATGGATTTTGCATTAATTGATTGGCCATATTCAATTTGTTGCAACCACATAAGACATAAATTTATATCTTTTGGGAACCTATGCAGATGGACTGCATGGTTCATCTGATTTTTTCCTTTCTTCCTAGTACCACTATCACAATTTTCAAAAACACACTTAGGCATTGTTATTAACTTTCAAATACTCATAGATACAGAGTATTTACTAATTAATTTACACAAATTTATGTAACTTAATTTTTAAGAGAATATAACACATACACAGTTAAATAACATTCTTAAAAATTGTAATATTTAATGAAAGTATGACAAAAAAGCACAAGTATAATTCCATCATGCCCTTTTGATCTATTTTACTACATTGTAATTGACATTTAATCTTGACTAATTAAATTAAATTGATCATACATTTAATTATATATGATCTCATTAGTGTTTATTTAATTACTTAAATAGTTGAATGTAAATATTATAATGTCAAATATATAAATATCAAATTTAATTTGTCATACATTTAATTGTATATGATCTTATCAGTGTTTATTTAATTACTCAAATAGTTGAATGTAAATATTATAATGTCAAATATATAAATGTCAAAAGGGCATGATGGAATCTCCCCTTAAATAGTATTTAAATTATCTCTGTTTATTAAGTTACTTAAATATATAACCTAACCTTTAGAATCAAATTCGTTCCAGGTGGTACTTTTGGTAGGTCAAAATTGAAAATTCTCAGTAGCTACATACAATTTATTATAGGTCAATTTTTTTTTAATACCATAGATATGTAGGTATATAATTTTTGTCTTAAACCTAGACTGACATACCGTCTTCGCTCAAAATCGTTTTTCTTATACAATGATATTGTATCATTGAATTCAAATTTAATAGCATCCATTATACAGTGACCCACTTGTAACCTACTGTACAGCAGAGCGACATCCACTTACCCACCTTTTTTAAATAATAAAAATACGGTCCGTTAGCCCCCATGAGTACGCCACTGCTGTACCTATACGTATAACGTGGGCAGTAGGCACATATTTATTGGTTTTTAAATCAGTTTTTTTCTGTGTAGCCACTTACGCTTAGTGCTTACCCGGTAAATTGTTTTATAAAATGAAATACACACACTGACATAGATACCATGTCTCAGTATTCTGTAAAGAACTTAATAAAAATAATAAATACGTAATATAATCAAGCTCCAAAATTTTAAAAGTTCGTTACATCATGAGAGCTTTGGCTAAAAAAACTTCGTTACCTCGAGGGTACCAAAATCCATTTAATTATTCGATATAAGTACCGCAAGATTTTCAAGGGAATGCCAGTTTCATTCGTTAGCCCGAAAGCATAAACTAGATTCACTTTCCTATCAGAAAAAATGATTCTAAAATAGTAAATGGAAACATTTTTAATGGCCTAAAACGTGATGAATAACAAACATTAATAAAAAATAACACAATTGTTTAATCAATATATTCATTGCTCCGCTCAGAATCTAAAATATAGTCACATTAATATTTTATAATGAGCGTTTAAAATTTAAATGGTTGATCACATAGTAAAATCGAACTGCGGTAAAAAAAAGTACGGTACCTAGGTATAATTAATAATTAGGGTCTGATTGGTCTGAACATTTATATTGCGCATTTTTTTTTAATAGTCCAAAAAGTTAACACGGAGTTTTATTTTGCATATTTTTGGATATTTTGCAATTTTTTGAATATTTCTGTGTTTTACGAATACTTTTTAACCGTGGACATTGGTAAACGGAAAAAAAGTCTCCAAATTAATATTTTATTTAAATTCAGTCTTTTATCATATAGGTATTTATATAGGTACATAGCCCATAGGTAATACATGTTCCATATTTTTATTGAAAATAATTCTAGGATTAAAAATTATCGTAGATAAGTATTTATAATTTATATACATAATTAGGTACATTTTAAATTTATTGAAAATAATATAATAATATAATATCTTAAACATATTAGGTATTTAAAAAATATAAAAATGTATTTGTTCAGACATGCACCCGTCGTAAAATAATAAAAAATTGAATAAAATATGTACGTTAAAATTGTATTTACTATTATATAATTTTCAGATCTTTTATACTTGAATAATTACATTTTTATTTTTTTTAAATAATATTGTTCTATGTTTCAGATATTATATTATTTTCAATAAATTTAAAATGTACCTAGTTATGTATATAAATACTTATCTACGATAATTTTTAATCCTAGAATTATTTTCAATAAAAATATGTAACATGTATTACCTATGGGCTAATTTAAATAAAATATTAATTTGGAGACTTTTTTTCCGTGAGACTTTCTTACCGGGGACTTTTTTACCGGGAACTTTTTTTCCGGGGACTTTTTCCTAATATCCCCCTATGATCTGTAATGTTTTTACAACAAGGATAAATAACAATTTTCAACTTTTGATAATACTTTTGATTAGGTAGGTATATATTATAGAAGGTAACATACAATACAAAACATGTTATATAATATATTAAAAAAAAAAACAAAATATTATATTAATAAAAAAAAACTTGACACTTTAGGCTAGTAGGAATGTTGTCACACCTATAAGCTGTAGAAAAAAAAATTATTGAATTAATATGTTATATAATATTTTCAACTCTGAAAAAAAATACTACTACAGCATAAAAATACATGTAGCTAGTAAACCTTAATACAAATTAAAGCACAAACCTAATATATATTAGGTATATAATAATAATATTTTTTTTTTTAATAAGCAATTAACAATAAAATGCATATAATATCTAACTTTAAAATAAAAAATGTATTTATTATAATCAAAAAGTAAAAATATAAATGAGAGTGGTGGGAATGTATCTGTAAAGCAAATGCGGCGCGGCGAGGCGTAGGCTGAGCGGTGAAGTGGGAGCGGACTAGCGGAGTCGTCGGCGGCGGCGGAGGCCGACCAATGAAAAACGGAGAAATGCTTACGTCACAGTACAAGGCTGGGCGGAGGGTGGATGCGCGACCCGTCTAAAAACGGGTATTTTGCTGACATACCTATTTAATTTGTCATGCTACGAGGTGTAAACATGGTCTTAGAAAATATCGTTTAATATTTGAAAATTGAATCACTGAACCAGACAAAAATACCAAATTTAGCCACGAATAAACGCATCATGCATGGTAAAAATTCAGGAACTAAGATACACCTATTTAATATTTAAAGGAATTCGTGGTAGAATTTAGAAACTAAAAAAATTTTAAAAAATTACAAATAAATGCAATAGAAGCTAATCTTTATCAGCAGACAGTGGACAATGAACAGTGATTGTTTCGTAACACCCACAGACCCAGTCCGTGGAAACACCGAACGGTCACAGAATCATGGCCGTGATAACAAGTAACGAATTTCTGGTAACAGTGCTTCCCGCCACTCGGATGAGCCAATGACATTTTGTAAGCCAACTGTTATCACCTCCCGTGCACTAGTGTCGTAAGTACATCAATGTCGTATCTACGACCGTGTGAACAGTTTATGGGTAATACCATAATAATATTATTTAAAAATTATAAGTACTCCTTGACAATCATTGTTTTTCTTAAAATGTTGCCGAGATTACAAAACAGGTTTTAATAATTTCCCGTGATATGATTACAAGTTTTTAATTAGTTATATTTTGATGTGAATAATAATATGTGATTGATTACTAGATGAATATTTTAATGAAGATTATTAAAAAATAAGTAGACTGGTAGAACGTTAGTGTTTTCAGTTTTACGTTATTGGAAATTATTTTTTACTTGCTCCAGTTTTTGACTTTTGTTGGACGTGTGACATCTTACGGGTTTTGGTAACTTTTTAATTGTCTACATTTGTGACTTACATCCAATCCAATTATGTCCGCTACTACTAGGAATATCCGTCACCAAACACTGGAACAACAAGTACCTACCTTCCTGATGATTTATTTTTGAAACAAATTTTCCTTTCTTCTTTGTCTCATCATTAATTATTTGTGTTCACTCAGAAACAACTGTTGGAAATGAAAATGAGGCAGGTCAGACAAACTCCGCAGATCATAAAAGCATCAGACAATGTCATGCCAAGTGCAAGAATACGGCCGAAATCTGCTAGGCCACTGGAGATGAATTGTAAGTAATATTAATTGTATAAAAAATTTTGCAAACTTTATTGATAAAGTCAAATTCAAACAGATGTAAGCACCTATAACATGTGTATAAAGTGTTTGGATCCAAACAGGTTTAATGTCTGATAAAATGTTTATTTGGTTGCACACCACTTGTTATAACTGGATTTTTGTTTCTATAGCTAGTTATACATATGCAATTTACTAAACTTCAAAACGTCTGTCTTCTAAACAGATTACAGTAACCATAAGTTAAACTAACAACTTGTCTCTGGTGTAATGCATTTATTTTAATTTCAGAATAATAGTATTAACAAAATTGCATAATTTAAATTTGGATAGGTATACCTTTAATATACTTATCAAACTAATAATTATTATATTGTTGTATTTACCTACTTATTTAATTGATTTAATTGATTTAATTCTTAATTATTAGGTTACGATGGTCCATTAACATATGCAATGATGAATTGCAGTCCAGACTCCAGTGATATATTAGGTGTATCAAGACATTCTATTAATCATGATGTTATTGAAGGTTTGTAAAGTTAAATTTTTAATTAAAATGTATAGGTACTACTTAAAAGTAATCTTTGAGGGAATCTTGATGAAAGATAGATTTTTAATAATATTTAATAAATTTACTATCTTAACACCTTAATGCATTCATCACTGAATTTTTATTAACAATCACTATTTTGTGTACTTTAAAGGCATGTATAATATAACAAATTAATAATGCATTTATGTATGCATACACAGCTCACGGGGTTTTGTATTCAATGTCGATAATACGCATAGTGCGAAATCTATAATTTATTGCAAAAATGTAGACTTAAATCAGCATAGTGAATACATTAAATAAATAACTATTGTAATTTGTATTTATGTTTGTTAATTTTAGATATGAGAAAAGAAGTAGCTGAAATGACTGTTGACGAACGTAGGATATCTGTAGACACTGAAGATGAAGAATCTTGTTCCATTTCTCCAGTTAAAACTTTAAGTTCAATACACATAAAAGAAAACAGCCCATTTATTTATCCTTCTTCAACAATTACTGATGTAAGTTACTTAAGTATCTAAATATTATGATATTATTCTATCTTTTTGCTTTATAGACTAATGAATTGGAAGGAGATGTATATGGAAATTTAGAAACATTTGTCCTGGAACCGGCTGCCCAAGGTGTTCATTTTAAGTGTCGTATAACTAGAGATAAAAAAGGCATGGATCGAGGGTTATATCCTACTTACTATTTACATTTAGACAAAGGAAATGGATCAAAAGTAAACTAATAATAAAAACGTTAAATATTGAATTATCAACACTGTTATTGTTATTGTATTGTTTTGACATTATAGATTTTTTTATTGGCTGCTCGTAAACGTAAAAAAAGTAGAACATCAAATTATCTAATATCAACAGATCCAACTGATTTGTCTAGAGGAGGTGATTCTTTTGTTGGCAAACTTAGATCAAATTTAATTGGTACTCAATTCACTGTCTATGATAATGGTACGTCACCATATAAGTCGTCTATAGAAGGAGTCCAAGAAAGACAAGAATTAGCAGCTGTAGTATATGTAAGTTAAAAAAAATGTATAATATTATATTGCTTAATAAAAACCAATTGAAAAAAATTCACATTTATTAGTTATATGTTTCATAAATACATAATTTTATAGGAAACAAATGTGCTAGGATTCAAGGGACCGCGTAAGATGACTGTCATAATACCAGGCATGAATAAAAATCACCAACGAGTTAAAGTCGCCACAACTGATAACTATAGTTCATTATTAGGTAATATTGTAATTATGACATAAATCTAAGTTAAATTAATTATCATATAATTTAAAAACAAATTTGTATAGAATGTTATCGAACAAAAAATATGGACGACCTGATAGAATTACATAACAAAACACCACAGTGGAATGAAGAAACCCAATCGTATGTTCTTAATTTTCATGGACGAGTCACACAAGCTTCAGTTAAAAACTTTCAAATTGTTCACGATAATGATGGTGAGTTTATTAATATTAAATGATTGTAGTTCTTGAGTTACCTAGATAATTATAATACAGTAAATTATCGCTATGTCGAAACTGGGGAACAGAAAAAACTTTGAGATATCTAAAATATCAAAAAGTTCAAGATATCTAGTTTTATTGTAATGGTAATTATCTCAAGGGGACTCCAATTGTTTTCCAGTGTTAGTTTATTTATAAGTGAAACTGGGTAGTAAGTATTTTCAGTTTAAAAAATTACATTTTATTTATTGAAAAGTTAATTTTTAAAAGTTAATATGTATTACAAGGGTACTACCATAATTGACACCATATTTATTAATAACAATATTTAATTTAAAATACCAGAATACATTTTTGATATTAAACTCCATCTCATATAAGACAAACCTTGGTGGGGTGTGTTTCTGCAGAAAACTTGGCTGGAAATAGATGTTGCTAAGGTAAACCAATTGCCGTGTTCTCAGAAGTGTCACTAAATTATTACAACAATCGTCTAGCTCACATTTTGCTAACATTAACACGGTAAAGGAAATTTTTTGCCACAGTAATTATCAAAATAAATGCTGATTGTGAAAACCAATTTAATCAAGGTGTCCGGTTTGACCAAACTGGACAAAAATCGGTAGCAGCCCCAAGTTACTCATAATTGGGCATGAGAGGCAGCAGAGTAAAGTTGATATCTTCTGAGCCACCACAATAGTTTTATTAGGATTTTCGTATGAGAATTAAATTATATCATCCAACAAATAATACATTTATTGTATAAAAAAAACTGTTTTTGCCTGTCTTAATTGTATTTGATTATTTTTTCAGTTGATTACATTGTCCTGCAATTTGGTCGGATTTCAGATGATCTCTTTACAATGGATTACAGATATCCATTGTGTGCAATGCAAGCATTTGCTATCACTCTTAGTAGTTTTGATAGCAAATTAGCTTGTGAGTAGCTAAATCACATTTCATTTCGATTGGAAAGTCCTTAAAAATCATTTGAGTTTTGATTTTAAATCTCATACTCAATGATTTTAGTTAACTATATTTTTTTTGTCTCCTTTCCTTTCACCTATTTATTTATACTTATATTTTCGCACCAAAAATTTCAATTTATTCTAGTCTTTATTTATTACATATTACTATTTAGTATTTTTCATATGTTAAAATTAAGTTTCAAATTTCGAATGAATGCCATAAAGTAATTATATTATTTAAAAATTGAATTCTGTATTTAAATTATTATTTAATGGAAATGATGATGTTTGTTTACATTGATTATTAGAACACTGCCATTAATTACGTTAACGTTTTATTTATGAGATGAAAAGTTTTGAATAAAAGTTGTTTTATTTTAATATTTATTACTTAAAATTATAGTTTGTGTTTGGTGATAAAAAAATCAATATAAATATTAAGATTTTATTTTGTTTTAATATTATCATCAATTTCATCTTTTAATAATTTTAAACCTCTTATAAATTATAAATTAATAAACACCTCATTATGGTATTGTTACAGTAAATCTGTAAATTGCAGAAACTGATATTTTATTATGTTGTTAATTGATTCAAGTTAACTTATTAATTAATTATAAAATTTATTTGCAAGATATTTTTTAATTTATTTTTGGCTGGTTAAAACCTACAAATAATGGGGGATAAATTATCTTGCCCATATAAAATAATATGAAATATTCCATTTATAATTATGCAGGTGCACCTATTTCTGCTGATTATAACACCCATGATGTTTCTATGTCAATTCAAAAATTAACTATGATTTGGTGTTCCTAAAAATATTTATTTTCATTAATTTAATTGCCTTTTACTAGTCTATGTTTACTCAAACATTCTATTATTTTTATATTAATTTAAATATTGACATAAACTTGAGTGTTCTAATTGTCTCAAGTCAAATTTTAAATTATTATTATGTTACTTAGAATGTGCCTTATACAATTTCTGAATATTTGTTTTTACTTTTATAAAACTTTGTATTGGTAATATTTTAATATTTAATATATATAAATTGTGGCAGTTTTATTATTATATTATTTTGAATAATTAATAATCTTGTTATGTTTAAGTTATGTAATTGTTCTCATATCACTAGTATCATGTATCTATTGTGCACTACTTTACAAACTAGTTTATATTAGGCTAATTGTTTATTGTGTGTACAAACAAAAGTGCCTTACACTTGTGCCTTACATTACTTAATAATATTGTACCTTTTTTTAATTACACAGCATCATGTTTATGTAATTGTTTAATTGTAAAATAAATGAAAATATTCATGTAAAACTACTTGAATTGATTTATTAGTTTTTACTGTGTATTCATTGTTGGTGGGTGTCCATAAATTATGTTATCAATCTGAAATTAAAAAAAATATATACATTATAATATATTATATCTTTATAAAATGATTTTGATTAGGAATACTTCATTGATTATAATTTATAACATTTAAATATTAAACATAGGAAGAACATTATGTCATTATATAATCCTTAAATTCAGTAAAAATAAAAATCTGAGTGTTAGTATGTAATATAATATGTATATATATGTAATATATATGTATTATGATCTTTAAGGGAACTTTAAAATCAAATTTTTAGAATTTGAATACATTAGTACCTAATTTAAGCATAAAAAGGGGAGGGATAGAAGGTAATCTCTAAGGTGAAATATTAAGTTATTTTTCCCCAGTACCTAACTATATTTCTTAATAATTGAGGAAATCTGAAATTTTTACTCAAAATCGGTTTTGACAAAATCGATTGTCCAATTCTCAAAATTCCATCTCCAAATACAAAAAATTAATGTTTATTTACTGTAAATTTTTATTAATTTCAATAATTAGACTTATAAGGAACCGTGTGCTCTTGTATTACCTACATTTTTAAGCTTTTTGATCTAGGCAAATCATTTTTATTGATGTTTATAGAAAAAAAAAAATGAATATCTGTTCAAAGTTCGGAACAATTATTTTAATAATAATATTAACATTTTTATGTTTATGTTGATATTTTTTTTTGTTTTTCCTGATTATTTTTAAAATAATATAAAATTTGCAATGTTGTCCTCTCAAAAGTATCAACTAGATCCAATTTTCTACCATTAATCTCCATTGAAGTTGTTGATCAGATCATTAATTCTAGTAAACACATCACTCATCAGTGTAAAATCAATACATTCATCGCTACACTAATCTAATCTAAAAGCCTCTAGTTGAAGACTATTAGAACTGTGCGGGAAGTAGGTAGTGTATCTACTAGTGTATCGTACCTAAATACCTTATGTACCTATACTGTAGTTCCCAAGGGAAACATTTTAATAATTGCTAAATAATTAAAATAATTATAACATTTACAATGTATTTTTTGTCAAAATATAAGGAGGAAATGTATTATGTGCGATTGATAAAATACAACTAAATTCATAAACTCAAATCACAATATTATATCTTGTTAAAAATACATTTTTGTTTACTTTTCGCTTGTTTGAATTGCACGTGCTGGTGTATTTACACTAGTTTAGGCTGTTTATTGAAATCTGACTATCTGAGCTGTCCAGTCGGGTGAGTTGACGTCAATAACACAGTTGTCAAAGCGAAACGAAAAAAATATTAGTTAAACCAGGCCCAGGTGGCCAGGTATAAACGTCGACCTACTTATTAAGTATCCATCAAATACTTGTGAAACAAAATTAAAACGTATATTCTAATACGACGAGTTACGACCAATGTGACATGTGTATGCTATATTGAATGCCCAGTTATAATATTGAAACATTCTCCACAGCATTTAATAGTTAATTGTAATCGAATAATAAGAAATTATTATGTTTTCATATAGATGTATTCCTACAGGTATATGTACTGCCTATTGGTATATGTAATCAAGAAGCGAATCACTGGTGCTCTTGATTTTTTTATGAACAATGGTCTCATTGTCATAAAGTACCTCCTAACAGGTGCTAAGTGCCAATTCTAGATCTACAAAAACCAGAGAAAAAAAAATGAATTACTTACATAATTTTACCGAAAACTTTACTCATTGTGTGTATGACAATATAGGTAGGTTAAAAGATTTAAGTAGGTGTCTATAGTATCAGTGAACAATTTTTATATTAATATTTTTAGAATACCTACTTAATAACTAAGCAAAATTTCAAATTTCAAATGTCTATAAACAACTCAAAAATAGATCAAATATTTTGAAAATTGTACAGTGTATGGAAAATGGAAAAAACGACATTTGGTGAAAATTTCAAGTATATTTACTGGAATTTGTTTTTGAGTTACCTACTAAAAAAAATATAATAATATTGATTTTGTCATTTTGTTGTATTTTCTTGATATTATTTTTTTTGTTTTTCTCGATAGTTAAAAATAGTGCAGGGAATTTATAAATTTGAACCCTCCAAAGTACCAACTAGATTACATTTGTTACCAAACACCACATTCAAAGTTAAAAAGTGGGTAGGCACTATTATAGGTACTCGCTACGTACTGATCTGCTGTACAGTAGGTACTAGGTGGTGTCTAAAGGGATCACTGTAACGGATGAATTGAATTTGAATTCATTGTTATAAAACCATTGTGTACGAAATGAGAAAAACAATTCTGAGCGAAGACTAATGCCTATAATAATATTACTATGTATATTTTATGATATAATTCTGTTATTAAAGTTATTTATTTTACTAATAGACGTTATTTTCAATTGCACGGCATCCATATCTAACAATTAACAAAATATGTGACTAGATTAGAACGTGTTCAAAACAGATTTCTCTCTTACGCCGCTTATTCACTTAAAATAGAGCGCCCTCAACACGACTATTCACAAATTCGTTCCAAGTTAAATATACCCTTACTCCCAACTCGCCTCTCTGAAGCTGACCTGACCTCAATTTCATTTCGTCTGTTCTCATTGGTTCCCTGAAAGTTCCTGAAATTTTATCCGGAATAAAGCTACGTGTCCCTTCTCATAAATAATACTAGAAACCATAATCTGCAATGTTCCACATTCCCCTTCACAGTTCACACAACATCTTATGGTTTCAACCATCCGTTGCACCGAATGCTACGTTCCCTCAATGATGCTCCTCAGTGATAAAAATATCAATAAAATTTTATTTGTTGGTTGCGAAAGCTTGAAAATTTAAAAGAAGGCTCCTATTATATATTGTTTCAAAGGCAGATGAAAAATAGTAAAAATCCTTAGTTACAATTTTTTTTTATAAGCATTTAAAGTTCAAAAATTGACAAAATATGGAAAAATCACGAAAATTAGCAAATTATTTTGAGTTAAGAATTCGTAAAAATTTTTCTTTTTAAATCTAAGATTTGAAAATGTAATACAAGATTCCTTATAAGATTATTTACCTTTATCAAAAAAAAAAATGTCTATAAGAAAGTCAAATTAAATTTTTATGAGCGTTTGAAATTCAAATTTTTACAACATTGGATATTCACTCGATTTTACATATAACGATTTCATTATTTTGTTGTAATTCAAAAACGAATAACTGTAGAAACATGAAAATTTCACTGAATGTTAATATTAGAATTTTCTATACACCATACAATTTTGAAAATATTTTGAATCTTTTTGAGCTGTTTACGGACATTTTCAGTTTTCAATTTTTTTAGTTTTTTTTTCTATAAATATCAATAAAGTTTTATCTGATGGGCCAAAAAGTGTAAAAATTTATACAAGACTCCTGATATATTGTTACAATATCAGTTCAAAAACATTGAAAATACATAGGCACAATTTTTTTTTATAAGCATTTAAAGTTGAAATGTTGACAAAATGTATCAAAATCTCGAAAATTATCAATCATTGTAATTAATAAATTATAAAATGATGTGTGTTTTTATATTAGATTCTGAGCGGAGCGATGAATGTATTGGTTTTACAATGATGTATGTTTTTATA